CTGTCCCCCACGCCAGAACGGATTAACGGTAATTACATTGAACCTTATGGGAAAATTTCCTTAAGGTTGCAACCAATTCGGGGTGCGACCAGAGTCACGGAACGAATTAAATTTGTAACCCGAGGTTCCACTCTATTAATATACATACACACCCAATTGTTAACAACTGGCATCAGCATCAAAAAACAATGTGACTAATTATAATAGACTAGTTATAATAGGCTAGTAATGAAACCAAAATTCCCTAATCTGTTGCTGTCCACAAATGTTGGTATTCAAATTCCATGATCCCAGGCAGCCATCATTCTGGTTGGGAATGAAAACCAATACATCTCAAGGAAAACATATAGGTGATGTCTGCTCTGATTATGGAGTGAGATAAAAGACAGGCAGTCTTTATGTTGTCAGGATCTGTTAGCTTTTCTTGGAGTGGAATGGCCAAAGCAGGGAAGATGATGATGCAAAGAAAGTAGAGCCACATCATGCACACATGAAAGTCATTTCTGGTTTTTTTCATGTTTTGGGTTGTTATTGTTATATTGTTTTAAGAATACAAAAAATTTCGTCTCTGTATAATGTTAACTTCCTTACTGAAGATGGTGGGAAATCAAAATGGTAACCTATGAAATGAGGCTTGGGGCCAACATGCATTCTTCCCTAGCACTTCAAATTCATTTAACCCTGATTTTGATAATTGCCTGAATTATATTAATTATACTAATAATTTCAGGAATAAAGTTTATATACTTCAAATAATATTTTAGAACAATAAAAATACTTCCAACTAAGTGCCCGTATCCACCTACACAATCCTAGCCCCTGAGCTATTGGCGGAGAGGCAAGATATAAATCTAATGAATAAATAAATAAAGCATTATTTTTTACATCTCATTTTCACCTGCTGAAAAACCTTGCCACTCCCCCCATCCCCCATCCCCCATCAGTTGCAAGAAGTTATTGAAGAGGCCATGAACTGAGGCTACATGTAAAAGCAAGGAATAAATTAACAAACAAGGTGCAGTGGAAAACAGAAGAACAGAAAAGTGTTAGATGGCAGAGTACCTGACATAATCTCCACAGCAAAATTGGGTAAGAGACCAGCAAGCATCCCTGTCCTGCCTAGAAAAGACCAGGAGGAATGGAAAGAAGGAAGTTAGTGCAGGAAAATCACTCCCCATTCTTTGCCTTAACATTAAGCTCATTGATCTGCATGGTATAAAGCCTTTATACACTTTTTTAGAATATTCATCACCTCTGCTTTAATTGTTTCTCCTGACATAAGTAAGTGTGATGAAATGTTTTACATATTTTAACATATTCATCATAAGATGTATTCCATATATAATTGCTACAATATGTTAGCTGATACCATCAGACTTTGACAAATCCTCTTTTGTGTTCTCTTGACCATTACCTATTAATATGTTGCCTAAGGGACTTAAATGTTTTTCAAAGCTTACCCACAGTGCTGTCCATATTTGGCTGAACTAAATATAGCATGCATATTTTCTTTCTGTGAAATTTAGCATTTTTCGTATGGTCCAGCGTGGCTTAATTTGTTTTATGTTTTGACTTTCATTAAGTCAAAATTTTAAACACACCTTAAGTAGATTTTAATATCAGACGCTTCATCTTAACTAAGCAGGAGGCACCACATTTGGGTTGATTCAAGTTATCATCAGCACAAGAATGCAGATGGGGTATAGAGGCACTGCTCTTTTACCACATCAAGTATTTCCTTTGTAAATAGCGCAGCCTAAGGCTATTTCCATGTCAGTTGAGGTTAATTCATGAAGGCTCAGAGTAAAAAGTTATGATTACTCTTTATCCTCTGAAGGCACAAGCTACATAAAAATTGTTTGTTCTGTTTAACTAAATAATGGGTACATGAATTATACATATTACTTGTATGTGTGTAACATATCCAGGCAATATTACATACATTTTAAAGGGCTGTGCTTCCTGCATCTATTATTACAGTCTGGATTCTAAGCCACTCATTTTGCTTATTACATCTAGGCCACTCATCACTCAGTTAATATTTGCATGAGTTGAATTTCTGAACAAAGAACATTTTGTTCTTTGGAACTACATATTTCATCTTCCATGTTTCGTTATAAGAAGCATAAATTATTCTGTGCAGAATAAAATAGAATTACCACTGTTACACAAAGCATAGGATAAGCTTCATTAAAAACAAATTTTGCAGTTTCATGTATGGTGAACATCAAAGTTGTTACATGACCAGAATTTATTATTGTACCACTCATATTCTACATGTATATATTGAATGCTGCATTCAAGGTATATGTATATGTATATAATTGATTTTTCTTAAATGTTGCATTCAATCCTTTCATATAAATTTTGGAAACTGATTCGAAACAGATTTGAGATCTTCCAAACAGACAGATCTGAGAACTTTCAACAGCCATTTAAGGCATGGTCAGTACTGAGTATTACAAACTAAACCAGAAGGGATAGAGGTAAGTATGCCTCAGAGTCTACAATCTTCAGAGCCTGTTCCTGGTTACTCTTAAGACACAGTGAACAAGTATGGGAGGCCTGTTTTATGAAGGCCATATGTCCATCTCTGAGGCGTAAGTTTGCTTCTGCAGCATCATACTTGTAGAATGGAACTTTCAATTCCACTGGCAAAGGCCAGAAAATAATACCTAAAAATTGATAGCATACAGTAAATTTAAAAAATCAAACAGTCTGACTAGAAATGCTTTAGAAAACCAAAATGCTATTGCTGTGGTGCTCAAAGAAAAACTGAGATTAGCGTGCATGGTATGCAGGGAAGGCAAAGTGTCTGTCAAAAATCTCTAAGCTCTGGAAGTTTCCAAATGTGGGCTCTAAGCAGACACAAAACCCTTATTATTTGTGAATTGCAGAAACCTCAGTGAAGAACCAATGATTATCAACTGGATTAACTTTGATTCTTGAAATGATGTCTACATCATTTAATCATGATTGTCAACTGCCAAAGCAAAAATACACACTATATCCATCCATACATTTCTAACTATGTTTTTGTGATCTGTTGTATTTCATTAATGCTGCTTTTTTATAATGTTCTGTACTATAATCATTAATCATGAGTAGCTCTTTGGAGTTGTTAACAGAATTATAAACATGATCCTTCACACAGGGTTTTCATTTTTCTTTTAAAAGTGAAAAATGTTTCCATCACCATGCAAACAGAGCTTATTTACATGTATTTATTATGGGATCATTACATTTATTTCACAAATATATATGGTTGTATGCCAACAGTCTTTTTTCCAAGTGAACTGGTGAGCAGATCAGCAACCTTCCAAGTCTCAGGTGCTCAAAAATCTTAAGGCTGCTAAAACTGAGTATGTAAAAAGCCACAAAATATTTCAATTATTTTCTAAATTCAAATTTTAAACATTTTTTCAGGGGGATACTATAAATATCTGTCGATAGCATGTTACCACCTTAGAGAAAACAGAAAAAAAGTTGTAGTTGCCCAAGAAACAATAAAGACATAAGCCAGTACTTAAATCCTCCATTGCTTTGCCAAGTCTAATTCCTTCTTTCTATTACTCCTTCTGTCCTTATGCATATTTTAAGAGGAAAACATATATTTGAGATATGAAAGGAAAGCAGCTGTAGCTCACTCTTGCATGAGAGGCAACCTCAGTCAAAATTCTGTTTTATATACAACAGCTACTGCATTAGTTATTGTGTTACCAATATCCATGGCTTTTTGAGCCAAAAATATTTGGCTGTTAAGACCTATGTCATTCCTCTTTTTGGGATTGAAGGGAATGAAGGGAATCTGTGTTCCAATTCCCCAACATTTTTCTTTTCTTAAGAGTTGTTGTAGACTATAGGGGAAGTTTGTCTCACTATGGAAGACTGTTAATTTCTTCCTCATTGTGCCATATTTTTCTTCATTTAACTGCACCTCACAAAACTGTTATTTGCTTTCCTAATAGCTCTATTTTCCCCATTAGATAAAACAACAGTTTCAGAGATGTGTATATTTAGATAGGAAGCATGGCATGAGTGGCAGGGGCAGAGGAAGGTCTTAAATTTAGATTATGATACTTCATTTGCTACTGCTAAAACAGTAGCAGTTTTATGGGAGGGAGGAAATACAATTTCATTTAGTTTGGCTCTGATTGCTGCCACGATCAATTTTCGTATGTATCTCAAGAAATTTAAAAACTGTAAATGTACTAAGAATGGCTACTAAGGACTAATCTTAGTTATGCTTAAACATCTGGTTTGCAGTTGCATTAGCAGCAAAGACCAACAGAAAATGGACAATGCATTAAGAAACTGATGCAAAATATCTCAAGATTTGGAGAATTATCAACCTGGGCACTCCCGAGCTGTGATCAATATAAAACAAAATAATTCTGGAGAAACATTAACTGTTCATGTTTTTAGCAAGTCCTAGCAAATAACCATATTAGTCAGGATTGCCAGGAATGATGCTGGACGCTCCACTCCCACAGAAAGATTAATCGCTGGTTTCCAAAAATACAGTGTTCTTCAGACAAAGTACACACCTTCCCAAAGACTATTTTCTTTTCTAGTTTCACAGATTTCTTCTCACCCTCCCCTCCAGCTCACCACTATTCTGAGAAATACAATCTGTAATGGAATTCACTAAAGCTCTCTTCTTATTAACCATTTCAGCAAAAGGCTGGGTAGAGAAGCCACACATAAATCTGAAACTGCTAGTTGATTTGAATGTGTCAGCACACTCCCATACCCAACCTGTTAAAAAAAAAAACCTAAATAATTCTGCCACAATCATTGTATTTTATATTTCTCTACACACTGAATTAATTCAGTGATAACCCTTCTCCCTATCAGTGTGTAATTCTCTCCTCCCCCGTTCCTCATTTTTAATAACGGCTGTTAAGTAGGCTGCTGAAAAACTCTACAGCTGACCCAGCCATTCTTGTTAATACCGGTGGTTTCCACAGCAACAGGAGGGGGAGATAACCCACAGGCTTGTCATGAATGCTTGCTAATTGAAGGCCAACTTTCCTCCCACAGGGATGAGCAACAAGTGAACCAAAAATATATAGAAAGGACAAAAGAACACACATTGGTTGGGGTAGGAAAGGGCTGAAAGCTGTTGGAAGATGCCATATGAGAAAGTGGAAGCATTTTGTATAGTTAAAAGTGATAAACAATAAAACAGCTGTGACTAAGTGATATTTCCATAGGATTATTTCTTGGAGAGGAGGGAATGCAAAATCAAGGAAAGGATCAACAAACTCTGATGTTCTTAAAAATGGACTTAAGTTGAGGCTCTCTGGATGTAACTGACTACAGTTCATACAAATTGGGAATTATGGCATCATAAACAAAGGCTCTAGAATTATTAGGAGGAATAATGCTGAAAAGTATAATGCAACTATACATATGTGCAACCTCTCTTTGTATACCACTTCCAATTACCTAAAGAAAACCAATGCTTCTATACAATAAAAATTAGAGAGAACAGGGAAGGCACCTGCAAGCTGGTGGAGGTACCAATACATGGTAGTCAAGGTTCCTGTCACCAAGTGATGTAGCTTCACCAATGAAAATATTGCTAAAATCCTTTCCTCAATCTCCCATCAACAAAAAATCTGATTCATGATCTAATCTTTGTCACTTTTCCTCAATGGCCATATCCCCACATGTACCTAACTGTAGCATAATCATATACTGGCGACACTTATTTTCTTCTTTGTTCCCATGATATTGCCTTCATCTCATTCTAAGCCCATGAATCAGACAGACTTAAGTTATCATTAGTTTTAGCAGGATTAAAGCCTTTAGAATGTGTAGTTGCTGATGTTGCCATGCAGGAAAAGAAAAACCAAAGCTTGAAATACAACATTACAATCGGAACTTGGAACATAAGAAGCATGAACATGGGAAAACTTAACACAATGAAAGATATACTGAACAGACTATACACTGACATCTTGGGCATAAGGGAATTGACATGGACTGGAAGTGGGCACTTTTGGTCAGAAGATTATACTGTTACTACTCAGGACAGATAAAACAAAAATGGAACTGTTTTGTTTTCATAATCAGAAAGGATATAGCAAGGATACTGCTTGAGTACAATGCAG